GCCAACAACCCTCACCACCAAAACCTCGATCTAAACGCATCTCCTAGAGCCCTTAAGAACCCTAAGCCACTTGACCTGAATAGAGGTGATTTCACTGAGATTTTACAATCTGGACTTGAGCCCAATAGATCAAATGTTCAGATCGAGGGAAGTGAGCAAATGGCTTGTCAATACTAACTGGATGATCAAGGAAATATCACTAGAGATACAGTCATGCTCGCTCGGAATATCTTGAACAAGCTAACAATGGTTTTAGTGACTCCTTTGGTTCCCTTCATAGAGAAAGTGAACCAAACAAGGGACATTTTGGGCCTGAATGAAGATTCTTAACTCCCACTCCTTTTTATGATGTACTCCGTGAAGATCTTGACCTGGAATTGTAGAGGAGCTGGCATTGAAAGATTTCAAAGAGCTTTTGAAGATATTTTCAGAGCCGAAGTCCCTAGCTCTTTGAAATAGTGGTGCTTATGGAAACCAAAGTCCTTAGCTCACAACTGGGAAAGTTTTTCTTTCAATTTGGCTGACTATAGCTGAAAAAATTGAACCAGAAGTTAGAGCTACAAGCATATAGCTACTGTGGGATCCTACACTTGTAACTGTGAATATCCGTCAATTCACCGCCCAAGTCATCCATGCAACATAACCCGGCTTGATTTCGACGAATGGCTGTTCTTAGCAATTTATGGTAGTCCCAATCCCTCTAATAGAGATCAACTCTGGGATAATTTAAGTCAAATTGATGACAACTATTCTCATGGTTGGATGGCCACTGGAGACCTTAACGATTTCTCTAGCCACTCAGAAAGAAGAGGGAGACACGCAGACCATAACAATAGAACCAGGAAATTTGAAGAAAGAATCAATAAATATGGCCTCATTAACCTAAGGTGTAACGGACCGGGACTCACTTGGAACAACAAGTGAAAAGGTCTAGCAAATACCAAAATCAGGCTGGACAGAGCATTGACAAACTCACGATGGACCACTCAGTTCCCAGAAGCTAATGTCTGAAATCTCCCCAGAACATACTCAAATAACTGCCCACTTCTAATTCATCTCAAAGGATGGATGAAATTGAATTTTGACAGATGCTCGAAAGGGAATTCTGGACCCACAACAATTGGAGGACTTGTGAGAAATGATCAAGGAGTTTTGCAACTGGGTTTCTATGGAAGACTTCCTAACTGTTCAAGCACACAGGTTGAACTATAGGCTATTTACAAGGGCCTACAGATTACTCATACCCAAGGGATGAAGAAAGTCATTGTGGAGACTGACTCTCTGGATGCTCACAGACTCCTCACGATAAGATTGGAAGAAACCCACCCGAAGAGAGGGATCATTTTTGAATGCAAGAGGTTTCTCACCTTCTCAATTTCCCCATCCAACACACCAAAAGAGAAGGAATTTTTTGTGCTGACAACCTTGCAAATTTGGGTAATGATAAAATGGTGCTCCTCAACTTTCCACCTTGCTCAATGGGAGAGCTTTTGAGAAACGATAGTACTAGTATCTCCTATGTGAGAGGATTTTGCTAACTCTTTTGAACTTTTTCAATGTATCGAAAAAAAAAGTTAAAATATTTATATATAGTGGACCCACGCACATAAATTCATGATAGTAGCCTAAATTCTAACCCCAATTGTGTAGTATGGTAATCAAGGTTTAAATCGAGTTGAATTCAAACTCAACCTGAAAGGAAATCGAATTGACTATGTAATCGAGAATAAAATCGAAAATAAATTTGATTAAATTTGAATTTCAACCCCACTTTTGGGGTCTCCAAAGTGTTCTTCTTGTTGCGAGATGAAATCTGACAACCAACTAGTGACTCTGAATAACAAGTTCATCAATAAGCGTAATTCTTTCATAACATAAGGCGGTGGGGTTACACATGAAACGAGGCATGTAGGTGCATAGGAGTATTTCGAGTCATAACCATCTCTTTTTTATAAGTTCTACGGACCAATCTCTATTGTTTCATTTGAAAATTCAACTACACTTCAAAAATTTAAATGCTAGCAATACTCAAATTGAAAAGTCCGTAGCGAATTCATATTAAAAATTATTAAACTTGGATTGAATTGTCAACCAATCCAAGCTACCCAAGTCAAACCACTTCTTAACAAGACCCTAACATATATTGTTGTTTGTATGTGGATTGGGTTGGGTTATCACCATTAGAAAACCTCCCAAGAAAACACTGCAAGAAAAAAGGGTTTTTACGGCGATAAAGTGTTATCATAAAAGATTTATTTGTCATCACAAATACCTTTTATGGCGGCATTGCCTCGCCATAATATGTGTGGTCTCAAAAGGTTTTTACAACAATAACGGTCTATCTCAAATAGTATTTACAGCAACAAGACCCTGTCGTAAATAAGTTGTTACAAAAAATCCAATTTATGGCGGCGACTATGCCGCCACAAAAAAAAATAATTTTTTTTTTAAAATTATTATGGAATGTTGGTAACCAAGGTTATATGTACAATTTTTTTTTTTTTTAGGGGAAGGGGCTTGAACCCTTGACCTCAAGAAGACAAAGTTTTCAGAGGGTAAGAAGTATCATTGGACCAAAGATACATTGGTATCCATACAACTACCAAATTCAATATATAGATAAACACAAAAGTAAATATGACCAACATTTTCAAAAACATAACAATATTTTCATTTCCAAAAAAAAAAAAAAAAATCACTTGAGCTAAACAACATGTAAAATATGCACTTTTACAACATATAACGATCTATGAATATAAGAAATTAATGTAAAAAATTGAATATCATTCCCGAACCATCTACTCTTCCAGTGACATTTGAAAAAAATATTAAATCATTGTTACTATACTTAAATAATATATACATATATACAATAAAGAATTAAAAAAAGTTAGAATATACATCAATAGAGGGCCGCACAATATTTCTTTGAACGACTTATCCAATTATGTAAATGGTATATAAACAAGTCATATCGTATACATTTCTTCTAATTGGTTTCATCAATACCTGATTCGTTTAGAATCATATTGTATCGGATCCATTCGTTTACTAAATAGGTGGCTTAAAAAAGATTCAAACCCACTAATTTTATGTCGTGTTAACGGGTCGTATCATGTTTTGACACCCATAGTTTTGATATAAAAAATTATCTTTGTAGAATTTAGTTTTTTTTTTCTTTGAACTAGATATTATCTTTTGATGTAAAATTACGTAATTTTATAAAATATTACTTGTAACATGAAAAATAATTTTAATTTTTTAGAGTTTTTCTTCTTTAAAAACTTGTTTTAATCTAAAATAACATTTTAATGTTTTATAAAATATTTTATAAGACGGGAAAAATAGTTGTCATAAATATAAAAATTCTTTTAAGTTTATGAAATATTATTTGCGGCAGGAAAAACAGCTGCCTCAAATACAAAATTTTCGTTTGAATTTATGACACTATTTACAACAGAAAAAATGGCTGTCACAAATATTGACAAAATATTAATACAAACACGTCTTTTATGACGGCAAACACAACAGTCACAAAAAATTATCTCAAAAATCTCTTTTGTGACGACGAACACAACTGCTATAAAAAATTTGTAACAAAAGACTCTTATTCTTGTAGTTACCAAAACTTAAAAAGTAGTAACTACAAGGCAGAAAGATGAACAAGTAGACAAAACTATTGTTCACAACAAACTGCTTTCAATTGCTATAATTAATGGAATAATGATGACAAATGGCTTGCTCATGCATGCACTAAGCTCGTGTATTCGGTTTCATTTTGTCACTGTTCTCCCTTTTTTCTTTCTCTCTTATATAAAATCTCTCTCACCCACACCAGTCTTTGAGCTTCAATGTCCCTAAAAGATTCTTCTAGCAAAAATGGAGAGACAATTGCTCATTCTCTCTCTCCTCCATACCCTTTTAGTTTCATGCTTTGCATACAATGTTCCAGCAATTTTCGTGTTTGGGGACTCAGTTTTTGATACAGGTAACAATCATTACAAGAAGAATTGCAGTGTTCAAGCCGATTTTCCTCCCTATGGGTCAAATTTCTTTCATCGCCCAACTGGAAGATTCTGTAATGGCAGGATAGTGCCTGACTTCATATGTGAGTTTTCCCTCTCTACCTCCTTGTATGTATACAGAGTAAATAATACATATAACCTCTAAATTATAATATTTGTGTCAATTAAGTCATTAAACTCTTTAATTGTGTCAATTGAGCTCTTCTTTTTGTCTCCGTTAGAGTGTGTCACTCAGTCATATGTCACAAAAAGACAAGAGGGCTAAGTTAACATAATTAGAGAGTTCAGGAGTTCAATTGACACAAAAAAAAAAGTTCAAGGGCTTAATAGATGTAAGGATTATATGTGTAGTTTACTCTAATAATTCGTGTCACATTTCACCACTATCCGTTAGAAAATCTAACAAAGGTAAACATAATGACTCAACTGACACAATTAGAGAGTTTAGAGGCTCAATTGACACGAAAAAAAGTTCAGGGACTTAATTGATATAAGGGTCATAGTTTAAAGGTTATATGTGTAATGTAGTCATATATATATATATGATCCATTCATTAGTAGCTGCCAAAAAAAAAACGAGTAAATCACACTTTGTACCCCTATAATTAGCCCAATCTTACTATATCCCCCTTTACTGTTTGAGTTTCTTATAGTAATCACTTAGCCAATAGAATTGATTTTATAATTTCATAAAACAAAATCTTATTCATGTTCAAAATAGAAAATATGCACTTGTTAATGAATTTTGGGACGATATACGAAACAAATTAAATTCCTTTAGAAGACAAGGTGATACAATTTTTCATTCAATTTGTGAGACACGTCGATAATTGAAAGAATATAATCATAATTAGAATTGCAATGTGAGAGAGGTGAAAATTGAACAGGTTGTATAAGATAGGGGCATATGTAGTTGTCGGTGTCAACTTGTAATTTTTGAATAAATAGTACTCTAAATGGTACATCCATGTAAAAATGATTGCAGCTCAGTTCATTGGCATTCCTTTCCAAAAACCATTCCTTGAAGCACAGCTTGAACTTGCGAATGGAAGCCGGAAGGAGTATCCATCCAATGGCCTCAACTTTGGCAGTGCTGGCAGTGGAGTTCTAAGAGAAACAAATAAGGATTGGGTAAGGAAAAAAAACTTAATTTCTTGCAGAGGAAAAGTTAAAAGAAAGGATCTTTTGCGGCATGCAAATCAATTTTTAAGCATTTACATGTGACATCCGTCTGCAATTCTCACCATGGATATGTATAGGTGGCTTAGAAATCCATGCTTTTTTCTATGAATAAATATAGTTTTGTATGCTCTCTCTCTCTCCCCCTCGTACATTAGCTAGCATCTTACTCACATGCACATTCACCAATATCTCTAATCCACACCATGCCTATGTGTAGAATGGTCGGAAAGCATTCTTAATTGCACCTTTAACTGGGTTTACTTTTTCTTTTACTGCATTGCATATGGATTAGCAGCATCTAGCTAGGTTGGGAGTATAATTTAACTTAAATTCATTTAGCGTCTAGACTATGTTATGAGTAGAGATGTCAAAATATAACAATACAAAATTATAGGGTTTGGATTTTCTGTTAGTCACTCATTTTGTAAAAGAGTGAATCCGACACGACACGATGAGTAGACCAATTGGATATGAGTGAAATTAATCAAAAAAAATATAGACTCCTATATATATATTAGTTATACACGATTTATATACGACACCAGCCCGATATGACATGTTTCGTTAGACATGAATTAATAAAAAATCGAGTATCGGCAAAATATTTTTTTAACATGAACCTGCTAAGATCTGACACGAACTTATCTCATCCGATACGGTTGATTGACCTAGTTATGAGCTGAGTAAAGTCTCAACCAATATATGTTTTTCTTTCATTATTGTTCTTTGTTGATCACTTATGGTGTATTCAAATTGACTCCTCGCTAATACCTAACGGATGATTTAATACGAAAAAGAAAAAAGAAAAAAAAGGTACTTGAGTGGATTTGCATCAGTTGCAACCAAACTACTCTCAAGATTCTTGGTTTATCTTTCTTTAAGAGCTTTGATCAATTGCAAGCAATTGGTACTTCCTGAGCCATTTATAATGCTTTTGTTGGAGGTTTCCACGCAAAAAATTCAAAAGAAAATGTTTTGTGTACCTAGTTTCGAGCCCTAATTCAGAGATCTAATCCATTAAAACTTTAGAATTGTCTTTTATCAAACATTGACCCTCTACTCAAGAGTGACATGTGCTAACGTCATTAGGTGTGAATCACAGGGGGTGACACCAATCCAGGACCAACTTCAACAATTCCAATCACTAGTAGACCAGAACCACATAAACAGCACACTGGTCCAACAGTCTCTCTTCTTCTTTGAATCCGGATCCAACGACATCTTCAGCTACTTCTACCCATTCAACACTCCAACTCTCAACCCAGTCGCTTATGTCCAAGCCATGCTGACAGAAGTCGGGCATTTTGTCGACCGAATTTACACACTAGGCGCTCGAAGAATCTCCTTGTTCTCGCTTGGCCCGGTTGGCTGCGTTCCGGCTAGGGCCGTGTTGCCAGGTGCACCTACTGATCGTTGCTTTGGAAAGATGAATCGAATGGTGAAGGATTACAACAAAGGGTTGGAGAGATTGGTTATGAGCATACCTATCAAGTACCCTGGTGCAGTTGCTGTTTATGGATCAGTATACAACACTGTCCAGCTTTTTCGAGCCCTTCCAAAACGTTATGGTACGTTTATTCCCTCTTTGCATTAATACATAGTACAGTTATTAATTGTGTCGTGTCATATTATCTTTATGTTGTCTACTTTCAGTTCCTATTTTTTTCTATATTGATTTATTAAACAATTGTTATATAGAATACTAGATCAAAGAAATAAAAAAAGATATATTACAATTTTTTGTGCATATCACTGAATGGGCTATTAGTGTCTAACACCTAACCCATCAATATTCGTGCAATTTCTTATTTCATGTCGTGTTGGATTTACACATTCATGCTAATGAGTAAAATTGACATTCATACTTACTATATTGTTTAGTTGTAGTTGTGTGTGCTCATTTGTAGGTAGATCAGAACGTTTTCGTTAACCTATTTGCTCCTACCTTCTTATGCATGTGCAGCACGCGCTTGCTCCCATATCTGATGCACGTCGTTTACAAGTGATGACTGCATCCCAAGTCAACATAGTAATCACAAATAGAAAAAAGACGTGGTTGAGACAATTTTCAGTTATATATTCCACAATTCAAATAAAAAATTGTTATAGATGTTACCAGAAATCCATACATTCATTGTGTGAATGAATTTCACAAAGTTTCACGAAAATCGTTCTTAATTAAACTTGATATTTAAGAGTTGAAATAAGTTTGCTAACTGTATTAGTTATTGTTGCCACAGGTTTTCTTGATGTAAGCAGTGCTTGTTGTGGCTATGGAACTCTTAATGGAGAGGTGCAATGTGGGCAGCAAGGTTACAAGCTCTGTCCAAACCCTAATCGGTTCTTGTTTTGGGATTATTTTCATCCTTCAGAGCATACTTACAAACTGGTCTCCAAGGCCTTGTGGGGTGGAAGAAAATCACGAATTCGACCTGTAAATTTGAGGACTTTAGCCAACATGACCCTCCCCCATGTGTGAGGAACCAGAAATGTTTTTGATATACGTGAGAAATCAGTGCCTTGATCATCCTTTTTAAACAGATTTCACATAAATTCTGAGCATTTTATCAAATATGTCAGTTCTTCATTGGATCTAGTAGCATATCTTGTATGGTACTGTGTTGTATTGTAAGTACTTTGAACTTCTTGTTGTCCAGATTTTCGAAAAAAATGGCAAAAAACTCTGTTTACGGCCATCTAAGGTGACTCTCTCTCTCTCTCTCAGACACACTCTCTCTCTCAGACACACATACCCACCCACACAACTAAAAATTTATGGGAAATCACTGTGATTTGTGCACGATTTTTTCGGGGGCGGATTTGAGGCTTAAAGCGGTAATATTAAATATAATTTTTTTTATTTTTTCAAAAAGAGAGAGAATGGATGCGAGTAAATATTTTGGTCGGTAAGTATTCAAAAGTCAATTATGAGTTGATTTTTGAATTTTTCTTTTTGTTTTTAAAATTTTTGATTTTTTAATTTCTAATGAATTGAATTGTAGACCCAAATTAGGGGTATTCACCCTACCTTATGAACAGGAAATATAGTCTTCCGTCTTTCTATTCGATGCTTTGCGGAATAATTTTTTCTTGATCTATCATACCCGATCAGGTGTGGTATTTCTACCCGATTAATTGGGTAAACACTTTTATAACTATTAATTTTTGGATCATTTTAAAAATTCAATTAAATAATACGCACCAATTTAACAACACAATTAATTAATAAAACTAATACCTAAAACAACTACAACAACAATTACCCGATGTTTTATGTTAACTGGATAAGTTTTGAAAGCTTAAAAAAATAGAGAAGGCATGAACGATGCTTAAAAAAAGTAGAGAATGTCTAAACGATGCTTGAAAGATAGGGTTTTGAGGTTCACACGAGATTAGAGAATTTATAAGGGATAAATTCTCATGGCCTGATCGACCCTAAAAGGTAGTCAAGATTTAAACTCAAGACATTTAATTTTATAACTCGTCTTTATTGCAACTTGAACTACCTTGAAGTTGCATCTCCGGCATTTAAGCAAACGAAACTTGTAAGCAAATACTCTTTTGAATTAAGACCTTCGATTATTAAAAGCTGCGGTCGTTTTGTCAAAACTGATAACGAGTCATTGACTAGAACCCATAACATTGTGTTGCTGTCACCATTGTGTACAAGGCAAAAAATTACTTTTAAAGAGATGTGTTGCAGCCAATCTTTTAAGCATTCACACTAATGTTTTAGAGTCAAATTAATAGTTAAACAAATTTATATATTTTATTATATATTTGTGTATAAAATTTATTTTTTTAATAATTTTTATATATGTATGTACAATATAGCACTCTCAAGCCATTCCAGTTCTACGATTTTTTTAAAAATTTGCACTATCGTGCCTCGCTCTCACTCTTATCCCCATTCCCGCTCTATGTAACTTAGGTATTGAGTAATATATTCTCAAATAACTTGAGCCGTATCTTGTTAGATAATATTTTCTCAAGATAAATAGTTCGGTCTTAACTTTAGAATTAAGCTACGGTATTGACCTGATACAGAATCAAAAATTCATTTGATTTTAGTTTGTTTGATTTGTGACAGTGAGCATTGGTTAAAATTATAAGTGATGATGCACAAAAATGGTTTTGCACACCACCTGTCAAGTATAGATAATAAATGCAATGAAATCAATGAGAAAATTAAAGAAGACACAATTTATAGTGGTTCGGTCAATTCGACCTACGTCCACTCTTCAATGGCTTCAGTCGCCGGGTATTTTATTGATTCAAAGGTATGGAGAACGGAGATACAAGCTTTGAGAGGGGGAATGGAGAATCAAAGAAAACAATAATCTCCGGTAGTCGGTTCGTCTTCTGAAAGTCTCTGATGGAGCATGTTTTCTTCCTCTTTCAGATTAGAGCCATTTTATAGTAGATAAGAGATCATTCTTGTGGAGATCATAACATATCCTCAAGGCTTCTTTATCGCAGCTTAGAGATTATCTTCGGTGGAGATCACGACTTATTCTCAACGGGAGGAAGAGTTTGGGGAACTCTTGAAGGAAACGTGGTCAAAGATTGGACCGTTGATAAGCTTCTTGTGCTCTATTCTTGGTGACGTGCTAAGCAAGAAGTCCAACCGTGCTCTCCTCTTGGTGACGTGCTAAGCAAGAAGTCCAACCGTGCTCTCCTCTTGGTGACGTGCTAAGCAAGAAGTCCAACCGGCCTTGGGCTCCCTAAGGCGGTGTAGATAAACTTCCCGTGCTCTCCTCTTGGTGACGTGCTAAGCAAGAAGTCTAGCCGGTCTTAGTCTGTCTTGGACTTGGTGGGTTCACGATGAGGTTGGGCTCCTCAACCGGGGTTGGGCTTTAATACATAAATTGGACTACTTGGGCTTAACCCATCATTTGCCCCCCCCAATGCCCCATGTCCAAGGAGACTTGGAGAAGGAGGCATTGATTACATTTTTTTTTTTTTTAAACTTCAAATCTTTCCCATTTTATTTTAAAGAGGGAGTGGTGGAGGTTGAAGAAAGGGAGACGGCTGGGCGCGCGATTGGGCAGCGCAGGCGCGCTGGGCGCACAGCTGGGCAGCGCAGGCGCTGGGCGCGCACGCAGCTGGGCAGCGCAGGCGCTGGGGGCCTGGGCGGCTTCCTAGGCTCTGCTCCTCACATCCTGGACAGCTCAGGCGCACTGGGCAGCTGCCTGGGCGCTGGCCTTGCTGTCCTGGACAGCCCAGGTGCGCTGGGCGGCTTTGGAACGCTGGGCAGCAGCATTTTTTCATCAAGGGGCGCAGTCCGAGGTTCGTCAGGGAGAGCTAGGCAGTGGCCTGGGAGCACAGGCTGATCCGATTCTCACTCGAGGCGCTGATTTGGGCCCCTTAGGTGCTGATTTTTGCGCCGAAAATTCTGCTTTGCGCAATTTTGAAGGGCCAGACACCCTTCAAGCTACTGGGCAACTTTGTTTTGACGAGCAACAGCAGTCAGGCACATTTCTAGGCGTTGGGCTAGACATTGCAAGTAGTAAGGAACCCTTGGGTGCTGCTCTTGATGATCAAGCCCTTCTCCAGGTGCTGGGCGCTTTGGGTGAGCCTGGGGCTGCCTCGGGAGAACCTACTTGTGATGACAAAAATAATGTTATTCCAAACATTAAAATATCTCACATAATTACCTGGAGAGAGAGAGAAGTAGGCTGCTTGCGCGAGAGCAAAGACAGAGTTGGAGAACTGCTCGTGAGAGAGCTACACTTTTTGAGACCTAGCTTTTGGCTACCCATGAGGGAGTCTTTAAGCTTGAGGTATAAGCTTCCTGTTTGAGAACAGTGCAGAGGCCAAGTTTTTTTTTTTTGGTGACCCGTGAGAGAGCCGCTAAGCTGGAGATAGGCTGCCTGTTTGAGAACAGTGCAGAGGCCAAGTTTTTTTTTTGGTGACCCGTGAGAGAGCCGCTAAGCTGGAGATAGGCTGCCTGTTTGAGAACAGTGCAGAGGCCAAGTTTTTGGGCGATCCGTGAGAGAACCGCTAAACTGGAGATAGGCTGCCTGTTTGAGAACAGTGCAGAGGCCAAGTTTTTGGGCGATCCGTGAGAGAACCGCTAAACTGGAGATAGGCTGCCTGTTTGAGAACAGCGCAGAGGCCAAGTTTTTTTTTTTTGGTGACCCGTGAGAGAGCCGCTAAGCTGGAGATAGGCTGCCTGTTTGAGAACAGTGCAGAGGCCAAGTTTTTGGGCGATCCGTGAGAGAACCGCTAAACTGGAGATAGGCTGCCTGTTTGAGAACAGCGCAGAGGCCAAGTTTTTGGGCGATCCGTGAGAGAACCGCTAAACTGGAGATAGGCTGCCTGTTTGAGAACAGCGCAGAGGCCAAGTTTTTTGGCGATCCGTGAGAGAACCGCTAAACTGGAGATAGGTTGCCTGTTTGAAAACAGTGCAGAGGCCAAGTTTTTTGGCGATCCGTGAGAGAACCGCTAAACTGGAGATAGGCTGCCTGTTTGAGAACAGTGCAGAGGCCAAGTTTTTTGGCGACCCGTGAGAGAGCCGCTAAACTGGAGATAGGCTGCCTGTTTGAGAACAGTACAGAAGCTAAGTTTTTTTTTTTTTTTTTTTTTTTTTTTCGGCGGCCCTTGAGAGAGCCGTTAAGCTGGAGATAGGCTGCCTGTTTGAGAACAGTGCAGAGGCAGGTCAAGTTTCTGGTGATCTGTGAGATGATCCACCTTGCCTAAACTTGTTGATTTCCTCAGCATTCATATATCTTTGAGCTTTTGTGAATAGTTCTGGCATGCTCTTCGGTGGGCGCTTCAGAACTGAGAAAAGGAAACTTGATGAACGGAGGCCACCCAAGAAGGCGGTCATCGTCACCTTGTCGTCGGGTTCATCAACTTGGAGTACCTCCTCGTTAAAACGAGTGAGGTAACTCCTCAGGCTCTCCTTGCGGTCCTGCTTTATACTAAGCAGGTGCGTAACTGGCTTCTGGTGGCGACGCCCTCCTATGAAGTGTGAGACGAATGATCTGCTAAGCTCGGCAAAAGAGGTAATAGAGGCGGGAGAGAGCTTAGCAAACCACTGTCGAGCAGACCCCTTTAATGTGGTTGGGAATGCCCTGCACATGATTTCGTCTGGTACGTTGTGCAATTGCATCAAGATCTTGTAAGTGTCGAGGTGGTCCAGTGGATCCTTTGTTCCATCAAAGGTCTCCACGGATGGCATTTTGAACTTCTGAGGGAGGGGGTAGTTTGCTACATCAGGTTTGAAAGGGGTATCAGTACGCCTTACCAGGTGGTCAACAGTCTCGGGTCCTTGTGCCTTTATGGCGTTGAAGACATCACCGAGTTGATTCTGTACCTCCTTTATCTTCTCGTCCCAATGATTGGGGGCTCTTCTGGAATGATCATGGAAGTGGCTTCCATGCCCCATGCTTTGATTTTCACCCTCATCCTCCTGGAGATAAGGGTCCTCTCCCTGGAAAGCAAGGGGAGGGGGAGATGCAGCTCCCTCATGTTGGGCTTTCCGAAGTGGGGTGCCCAATGGGGCACCCGGGCGTGGAGCAACAGGGCGTGGTGCTTCTTGATGTCCAGGATGTGGAGCTCCTTGGGGTGCTCTATGTTGTGCACCTCCGTGGGGCCCTCCATGTGGTGCTCCATGTTGTGCACCTCCGTGTGGTGCTCCACCTTGGGGTCCTCCATGTTGTGCACCTCCGTGTGGTGCTCCACCTTGGGGTCCTCCATGTTGTGCACCTCCGTGTGGTGCTCCTCCTTGTCCAGCAAGTATGAGTTGCAGTAACTGTTGGTTTTGAGCAACCAGTTGCTGCATGGTCTCCAATATTTGTTGGGGATTCGGGGCTAGAGTATCCGGAACAGGGTTGATAGGCGGGGGAGCAACCTCTTCCTCTCGTGGAGGATTGTCTTCGTGTTGGTTCATGGATCGAGTAGTGATCGCCATTAGTTAATGGACGTAATGTTCAGGAGTGATAATTTTGTCGATTTCCCACAGACGGCGCCAAACTGATGATGCACAAAAATGGTTTTGCACACCACCTGTCAAGTATAGATAATAAATGCAATGAAATCAATGAGAAAATTAAAGAAGACACAATTTATAGTGGTTCGGTCAATTCGACCTACGTCCACTCTTCAATGGCTTCAGTCGCCGGGTATTTTATTGATTCAAAGGTATGGAGAACGGAGATACAAGCTTTGAGAGGGGGAATGGAGAATCAAAGAAAACAATAATCTCCGGTAGTCGGTTCGTCTTCTGAAAGTCTCTGATGGAGCATGTTTTCTTCCTCTTTCAGATTAGAGCCATTTTATAGTAGATAAGAGATCATTCTTGTGGAGATCATAACATATCCTCAAGGCTTCTTTATCGCAGCTTAGAGATTATCTTCGGTGGAGATCACGACTTATTCTCAACGGGAGGAAGAGTTTGGGGAACTCTTGAAGGAAACGTGGTCAAAGATTGGACCGTTGATAAGCTTCTTGTGCTCTATTCTTGGTGACGTGCTAAGCAAGAAGTCCAACCGTGCTCTCCTCTTGGTGACGTGCTAAGCAAGAAGTCCAACCGTGCTCTCCTCTTGGTGACGTGCTAAGCAAGAAGTCCAACCGGCCTTGGGCTCCCTAAGGCGGTGTAGATAAACTTCCCGTGCTCTCCTCTTGGTGACGTGCTAAGCAAGAAGTCTAGCCGGTCTTAGTCTGTCTTGGACTTGGTGGGTTCACGATGAGGTTGGGCTCCTCAACCGGGGTTGGACTTTAATACATAAATTGGACTACTTGGGCTTAACCCATCAATAAGTATAAAAATAACAAAATACAAGAAGTTTATATGTATCATGTTTTTATTAGATGTAGAATAAAGTATGTTACCCAAAAATTATTCTTTAGGAACATGGAAAATTGTACTTTGTAACATGAAAAATTTTAAAAATTACTTTACACTTTTAAAAATTAAAATTTTTACATTATACCTTAATGTATTAAGAATATTGCATTGTAACGTTCCATTAGTTTTCGTTTAATCATTTCATCAATGTCAAAGTGATGACTTTTGACGGAATAAGAAATGAAAATTAGTAAAAAAATTTCATTTGAATACTTTTAATACATTGAGAGTGCAATGTGAGAAATCTAATTTTTGAAGGTATAAAATAAAAAATCTTAAATCTTTTAAGGCACTGAGTGAGATTTTCCTGACTAAGACTAATATAACATGACGTTAATAACATCATGTTGTGTAACCGTCCACTATTAAATAAACAAATAAATAAGTGAGACCCACAAAATTAAGTAATCAGCTATCTATATAATATATAACCACCTCTATATAAGATAAATAAGTGATTATAAGAGAAATTGAAGAGTAATGCTACATAGATTTAAAAACTAAATTTGATAATTATAATTATTTAATGGATAGTAAATCTTAATAAATACTGAGATTCACAATAAAATTAATGATTATAATTATTAAATTTAATTTTTAAATTCGCGTGACATATTAAAATTAATGAGCAAATTAGTAGTCTTCAAGCTGTCGCATTAATGATTTTGCATAACATTAATTGCGTTCAGAAAAGCTGTCACAATGTGATGAAATGCATGAAAAATAAATATTTATTAACTATCATTTTTCCAAGTGCAAATGACCACCTAACCTAGATATATTTATAGCTCAAGGTTATGCCCACTAAATTTGTGCATCAAAATTTGTATTAAATCACTTAGAGCGTTTCTAATATTGACTCAAATTTAAATTTAAATAAAAAAAATTTTAAAAATTTACTCCAACTCTTAACTCAAACTTATACCAAATCAAGAGATATTCTATTTTTTACTCAAATTAAGGGAGACTCAAATCCTTACTCAAATCTTTAATTGTGATATTTTACCCTTTTTTTAAAATTCTATAGTCATCTTTACTCTTATTTAATTTTGAATTTGTCCTCATTTAAATTTAAATTTCTCATTCTTTAAATTTGAGTTTGTCCATTAAAGCCATATTTATCAAATCAAATTTTTTACTTAAATACTTACTTAAATTTGAATAAAATTTTTAGTCATGGTTGGAGATGCTCTTACAGTCGTTAAATCAGTAGATCTCATCATTGATCCAAAGATTACAATTAATTTAGTGTAAATTTTGGTGCACAAATTTTGTGCATAAAAAATTACCCATATTTATAACAATAACATGCAATTTATGTCGGTCAATCCAAAACTTAATATCTTTGTTAGAGTTTATTTTTCAATAATTAGAGGCGTTCAGGTAGGTTTACGTGTATTTTGACTAATTCTCTTCTTCATCTATGTCAGGATTAAGATATTTATGAGAAATTAATCTCTTATAATTTGACTCTAAAAAATTGTCAAAATTCAAACTTTGATAGAGTTTTTCAGTTGTCTTTGAACAAAAAAATCTGAACCCATTTTAATTTCAACAGAACTCAGAATTTCGAGCTCCAACATGAACAAAACATGAATTCACTCAATCAAAATTAGCTTAAGTTGAAAATTGAGTTCAATTTGGATTTTGTAATTCAAAAATTAAATTCAACTTGAATATGAATTTTAACTTCAGTAGTACTCGGAGTTTCGAGATCCAGACAGAACAAAACATGAATTTCCTAATTGAACTAGATTTTGAGAATCGAAGCACGAAGGGTGTGATTGGATTTGAGTTTAGGATCGAGTTCGGATTGATAACTTCAATTGAGCCCAAATTGATGCTATAAATAACCCAAGCCACCATAGATGCACCCAATTTGATAATTAAAAGCAAAGTTATAGGGACGTAATTTAGAACTTAATTCATTGTAATTATTAAATTAGTTGTGAATTTTAAGGTTGCGTGGAGCTTAGGCTTGTCAATGGACAAATTCTGAATCGAATCCAATTTGAATTCGATTAATTAGATATGGATTGATATTTTATTTTTATCAATAATTTGAACTTGAATCTGATATCTTATATTTTAACGAGACTCGAATTTGGATATACATATATCTGAATTATTTATATATTGCTATATAAATATTAAAGAAATTAAGTTATTATTTAAAAAAATTTAGATATAATTTGTTAAAATTATGCTAATTAAATTATTCGAATCGAATTTCAAATTTTTAACGAATTTGAATATGGACCACAAAAATCATCGGATTTAAATCAGTCAAAATCCGATCCAACACTCGATCCATAGTTGAGCCTATTTTCAATCCAACAACTATAATAATTATGTATTCAAATTAATTTTAAATAACATTTTTTGATAATTATTGAGCCGGGAAAAGTGTAAAGTGTCTAGTAGTTGTACATGTTAAGTCGCAGTTGGGCAGCAAAATTTCAAATTTCAAATCCCAATTATTCAAAGTAGTCTCCTTAAATTATGTTAATTAGAGACTAACCCCCAAGTTTTCATCTAGATAGTGACGAGTAGCCTAAAAACTCTAGACAAAAGAGCACCAAAAGTCTGACCATTCCACATCACCAGTCGACATTACCCCACAGTTATCAGTCCCCACACGCATTTACACCCCAAGTTCACAACGACAAAGAGGCATCAACCATGAACTTTCCATTAGTTTTCCACACACTTCACCTAACGCGTCCATAGTCAAAAACCATTCCATACACCTTTAACAACCGTCCGCCTGTCTTTTTCTATTACCCAACACAACCTCATCAGCAACTTGTGTATATATAGTTATACACACACACAAATCTTGTGTGCATTCTTCATCCCCCCCCCCCACCCACAAGCAAAAAAGGGCCCCCACCAAAACACGCACATCCCTACTTTATAAACCCATTTCATTTCTCATCCTCCCACACCCAATTTTCTTTGCTACAGCCATTCCACTCACGGGTAAGATTTCGTACATCTATTTTTTTTATGAGATTGAGCAGTGATAAGCGATTCATTCATCAAATCTAACACACATATCGAATTTGTCCCTTTTTGAAAGTTTCGTGCCATCCTCTTCGTTCTAGTTACGGATAAGGTTACACACATTTGATTGTTCTTTTAAAATCAAGGACCGACAATTAATAAGAGATTCGTCCACAAACCAAGATAAAGATTGTGTGCATCTAACTGGTGTTCTCAAAAGAGACTCGAACACCAAAACTGCCATGGGAAACTATGTGTCATGTGCTTTTATTACCCCTATAATGAAAAGCTCCATGGCAGCTAGGGTGGTAGTTCCCGGCGGTGAAATACGGCACATTCGGGAACCGGTGAAGGCCGCCGAGCTCATGCTGGACTGCCCAAGCTTCTTTTGGTTAACTCTCGATCTTTGAACATTGGTAAAAGATTTTCAGCTCTCTCAGCCGATGAAGACTTGGAGTTTGGCAACGTGTATATTATGTTTCCGATGAAGAGAGTGAATGCTGTAGTTACGGCGGCCGATATGGCCGTGTTATTTATGGCGATCAACTCTCCTGCTAAACGGATTTCCGGTGTCAAGGTGGGAGTTTTACCGGAAGCGACAGCTGTGGCCGCGGAAAGAAGAGATAGTTCGCCGGAAAGTGATGTCGTCGGAAGGTCGGGACTGAATTTGAGTGACGTGGAGGGTTTCCCGGCGCCGGAGTTCAGGCACAGGTTATCAATGTGTAGGTCAAAGAAGCCCCTGTTGGAGACAATTACAGAAGAGCCAGTTTGTTCAAGATGAGAGAGGGTGTTTCGCAGGGGTATTATTGGAAAGTCGTGTAGGCATTTTTTTTTTTTTTTTTTAGAAAAAAAAGCTTTAGTGGAGAAATTGGGGGTGTAATTATCGAATTTGAATGAAAATTTATGGAGAAAAGCTGGAAAATATTTGTAGAAGTCAATGATACAGAGGATGTATTTGACCGAGTATTGTTATGTTTACTAAATTTTATATATTAAATATTGTTGGTGATTGGATTAATCGACTTCACGCAAGCCCAGGAAACATTCAATTTCATGGCATCGGATGGGGATGCAATCTATGAACTCCGGATACCGATACAAAATATGGGTGCTATATAAAATGGATACCGCGATACCATATAAAGTTTTAAAAAGTAGGATATGAGTACAATGTTATAATAAAATATTTTTATTATTTTTATTATTTTCAACCAACTTAATACTTATATAATTTGATAATTATTTAATACTTCTTCCGTTCTTAAATATCTTTTATTTTACACAATTTATTTTGTTCCATAATATCTGTCGTTTAATGAAATCAAAGCATAATTAATATTTTTTATTTTAAATTTACCCTTAAATTTTCAATGCATTAGATTAGGTGGAGGTTAAGTGTCTTTCATATTCCTTTTCTTTCCAATACGTATTGAATAAGGATATTTTAGTCTTGTGCAATTATTTTTTACTCATATTAGAATTATTTAATAGTTTCCTTAATTCCTGTGCAAAAACTTTAAATGACAGATATTTAGGAACGGAATGAGTATATAATAAAGAAAATTAGTAATTTTTTTTAGTTTTAAGAAAATATATATCATGTCGCTGTGATATATTCACAAAGTGAAGTGACTAATTGAAAGAATAAAAACTAATATTTACCTAGTATTTAAAAGTAATTTTTGTCAAAATTATAATATAATAGTTTTATTATTTGGTCTTTTGATAAGTAATTGTAGATAATAATACTTAAAAAACACTCATGTACCTTTGAAGTAATATGAAATTTTTATTAATGTATTGTTTGGTATATAAATTAGAAAAGAAATGTTAAAAGTTCAATTAAAAAATTATATATGTTGTTCTATTATAAAAGTATTTGTGAAATATTTTAATATTTAATTATTATCAGATATGTAAAACATGTATCTAATACGTATCCTCGAGTATCTGATGAGCATCGTATCTAATATAATATTCAATACGGATACGTCAATTTCAACAAATAGTGGATAAACTTATTTGGGATGGAGAATTTGACTACATTGAACCAAACCTAGGACTAAAATTTAGTTTAAAATCCTCTATTCATTGAAAAGTACCAAATCCCCGTGAACCGTAAAGGAATGAATTGAAAAGTACAATCAACCCTTTTGTTTTACAAACCATCCACGCTAGGGAGAAGACTAAAGTACAATTTAGCAACCACAAAACTAATATAAGTGATAATAAGAATAAATTATAAATTCAGACGACTTAAATTTAAATTTTAATAATTCTTTAAAATTATGTCATGAGAGACTGTTTGACAAGTAGTATGAGAGTTTTGTAAAAAGGGTTTGGAAAAAAAAGTTCAAAGGACCCCTAAATCCTACATTTAGATTGAAAGTTCAGTCATAGATTCCCAAATTTAATATGTAGTTGATTCGAAGATTAAACTCATGATCATATGTTTTGTTAAACTTAGGGGAGGGGTGGTTTGGGAATATGAGTAATGAGTTAAGGATACAAAAAATAATTGTATCCTTTAATATGAGTATGAATTAGATTGACCAAGGATAAAAAATAATCATTTAAAAGACAAATAGTTGTTAATATTCTTAGGTCCTACATATGTATGTGTTGCATACTAAACATGAGTATGAACCTGATTGAATGTTGAATCTTCATCTTTATAAAGAGGAGTTTGGATTTGGAAGGATTTGGAGAAACCAATCCAAATACCTCCTTAAAATTCATCCAAACAAACCTGGATAAATTTATCTCTTATGAATTCTCTAGTCTCGATGCAGATACTCTACTTCTGATAAAATCGAGAAAAAAAATTATTTGAAATACACATAAATCGATTCGAATATTCGTGACCATTTGAATTAAAGAACAAAAGACTAAGGAACCAAAAAATATTCGGTACCGTTCAGAACTTTTGCGGGTTTTTTTTTACTAATTTTGAGGGTTATTTATTATAAATTTTGTGAGTCGATTTAAAATTTATTAAGATAACCCAGAAAAATAGTGTCCTCATCCATTTGACGAGGAAGATGCGTGTACTGTACAGCCAGCCAAAGCGGGGGGGCCTAACTGGCTCCAGCTTTTCTATATTCAATGTCCACGTGCATAAATTTTTAATATTTATGAGGACAGGTATTAGGATACTCTTTTTGACCATATAATGTAAAAATGTATCTCTAATTGAAGCACATTTTCATTAATCTTGTGATTTTTAAATTTAATGGCTACTCATATTTGTCTCTTTTTTAAATTAAGATTCTCCCCATTACAAATTCATTTAATTTTACCAAATATATAGATGACTTATCATAAGTTTAAAAAAGCCTCGTTACTTATAAGTTAGTAGTCTTTCATTAGTATAATTTATTTTTTTTAGTATTTGAGTATAATATTTTCTTTTTTTCTTTCCAGGTGGAAAATTTTAATGTACAATAAATTTTTTTACCATATCATATCTACTTTCTTTTTTTTTTTTACAATGAGAATTCCATAGGTATAAATTATTTGTATTACATTACTTTCTATATAATGTAATAAAACCCTTAACCTTCTGATTAGTGCTCCAAGGGCATGTTTGTTTGGAAGTTTTAGCGGTACTATAGGGTGAGATAACAATAAATTGTATTTGGAGTCCACTTATTATCTTGTTTGTTTGACATTTTATGTACAGTATTATTTTTCGGGTTGTAATACTGACCTTAGTTTGTACAGTAATCTTTAACCCTTGTACATGACTTTAATGAATACCACCTATCAGATAATATTATTTGCTGGTATAAATCTACCAACGGTACAAATAAGGAAAATGACACAAATACTCTCTTCTGTGTAGAGTTCACATATAAAAAAATTATTTAAATTTTTTTTTTATTTTATGTTTAAGTGTACAGAGTAACCTTTTTTTTTTTTTAATTTTTTTACGGTATCACCGATTCATAACATCAAATTCTTTATTTTTTTATGTGAATTTTTTACATTATCCGAAATTTTTTGGGTATGGATTGCCATACCATGTATTATACCAAATATTGTGCAAAAATGTTACACAAACAGGGTAATGGAATGAATGATGTTAAGCGTAAAATGATATATTTGTTATACAAGATGTGATAGAGTAGATGGTTGTTTGTGAGGCTTACCATAATACCTATTGAACAAACAAATATAGGAGGAGATTAATATATTTTCTATTGCAGGTACTAATTTTTATTAGTATTGGAAATGTAAGGAATATATTTCTTAATATCATGCATAGTAATACTCAAAACAAATATGCCCCAAGTAAATATAAATTAGTGGGTATTAATATATTGGTCTATAACACCTACTCATTCATATACCAACCATTCTTTAAGAATTATTGTGTTGAAATTTCTCTCTATAATAAGTAATATTTGACCACGTTTCATGAAGAGCTCCCCAACCTCCTCCTTCCGTTGAGGATAAGTCGTGATCTCCACCAAGAATAATCTCTTAGCTGCGATAAAGAAGCCTTGAGGATATGTCATGATCTCCACAAGAATGATCTCTTAGCTGCTATAAAATAGCTCCAAGCTGGTAGAAAGGAATATCACGCTCCATCAGAGACTTACAGAAGACGAACTGACTACAGGAGATTACTATTTTCTTTGATTCTCCATTCTCTCTCTCAAAGCTTGTATCTCCATTCTCCATACCCTTGAATCAATAAAATACCCGGCGACTGAAGCCATTGAAGAGTGGATGTAGGTCGAATTGACCGAACCACTATAAATTGTGTCTTCTTTAATTTTTTCGTTGATTTCATTGCATTTATTATCTACACTTGACAGGTGGTGTGCAAAATCATTTTTGTGCATCATCAGTTGGGCGCCGTCTGTGGGAAATCGACAAAATTCTCACTCCTGAACATTACATCCATTAACTAATGGCGATCACTACTCGATCCATGAACCAACACGAAGACAATCCTCCACGAGAGGAGGAGGTTGCTCCCCCGCCTATCAACCCTGTTCCGGATACTCTAGCCCCGAATCCCCAATAAATATTGGAGACCATACAGCAACTGGTTGCTCAAAACCAACAGTTACTGCAACTCATACTTGCTGGACAAGGAGGAGCACCACACGGAGGTGCACAACATGGAGGGCCCCACGGAGGTGCACAACATAGAGCACCCCAAGGAGCTCCACATCCTGGACATCAAGGAGCACCACGCCCTGTTGCTCCACTCCCGGGTGCCCCATTGGGCACCCCACTTCGGGAAGCCCAACATGAGGGAGCTGCACCTCCCCCTCCCCTTGCTTTCCAGGGAGAGGACCCTTATCTCCAGGAGGATGAGGGTGAAAACCAAAGCATGGGGCATGGAAGCCACTTCCATGATCATTCCAGAGGAGGCCCCAATCATTGGGACGAGAAGATAAAGGAGGTACAGAATCAACTCGGTGATGTCTTCAACGCCATGAAGGCACAAGGACCTGAAACTGTTGACCACCTGGTAAGGCGTACTGATACCCCTTTTAAACCTGATGTAGCAAACTACCCCCTCCCTCAGAAGTTCAAAATGCCATCTGTGGAGACCTTTGATGGAACAAAAGATCCACTGGACCACCTCGACACTTACAAGACCTTGACGCAATTGCACAACGTACCAGACGAAATCATGTGCAGGGCATTCCCAACCACATTAAAGGGGTCTGCCCGACAGTGGTTTGCTAAGCTCTCCCCCGCCTCTATTACCTCTTTTGCCGAGCTTAGCAGATCATTCGTCTCACACTTCATAGGAGGGCG